TGTCGAAATGGTGTATTTTCACAATTAACAATTGGGTGTATTTACAAAATGCACTCACAACTTCCCTATGTTAAACGAATTTTGTCGTCAAACTTCCCTACTTTTCTTCTGAGCTTTCGCATAAGTGAAGTTTGTACAAAGTTTCACAAGACAATCAAGTGTGTGAGTTTTTGTGTGATGATTAAAATGCAGCTTACCTGCTTCGGAGTTGCGAATGTGCTCATCAGTTTTGCGTGACATGAAGAAATCCATTGAGATCTGGCACAACTTGCGTCACCATGATGAAATATATCAAATGCAACGACCAGAGCATTGTGAATTCAGTCCAAGTTTGAACTTTGGCATCTATTCACATTTGTCGCGACATGTGAAAAGTTGCCCAACACCATTTCTGGGTATCAGCAACAGATATGAATGCTCTCGTCGCAATATGACCAGACATTTCTCCAGCAGTCGAAAGTCACCCAGGAGATTGCACACAGGCAGCCCCATTGTTGTGATACATTGTCAATTGCAACTCACCATCAATTGTCATGGGGTGGAAGAGGGCCCTCGAGATGGGGTGGGCGATGGAAGTGTCTCACTAAATGATTCTGTCAGCATCTCATGCAAATTGAAATTTCCCACACTCGCATTTCGGAGGAAATTTAATCATTTCATGCCCTGCAGGTTGGCCGGAAAAGGGCGGAAAAAGAGACAGTTGGTGGAGAACGTCGAAATCAGGAGTCCCCCAGAGATGTCAACTTCTTGTCGCAGGTGAATTTTCATTGAATGACTTTGGGGATTTCGTCCAGAAACAAATATCTGTGGTTTGATCACCTCAAGCCACATTAGATCCAGCATTTAATTCACTTTGACACCCAAAACAAATTATTTGCATTCCATAAAGTGCACAGCGTTGTGGCGATAGTATTGCTTTTCCCTTCACTGCTCCATCTTAAAAGCACTTCGCCAACAATGCATTTCACCCGGTTTTAGCGTGGGTGGAAAAAAGGCTGGGCTCCTGGGGTGGTATATTAAAGGAATTACACTCCTTTTGTTGTGGCGATACAGAGGAAATTGTAGTAAATGCCGTTGTATGCTCAAGCGGATGTGGCTTCATGGAGATTCTCTCTCATCTTGTGTATCTGTGCATTTATCAGGGTTGGGACGGGGGGCGGAATTGCATTTGCAAAGCCAACACAAGTCCTCATCCGTTCTGGAGTCCTGTCATAGAGACATTTGTAGCGCCAGCAAAGGGATACTTCCTCATTCTGGAAATTCGTCCGTTGTCTGAACACGTAATACTTGCTCCGTGAGAAAAGCTCTCGTCTATCGTATATTAAAAGCTTTTCTGTCTATACATGCACACTTCTCAATCAATTAAGCTCTACACCTATATACAAAAAGGTAAAATTGATTGTGACTCCTTGTAAGAGGCTTTGGTCGTTATGTATTAATTTGCATATTGGGAATAATGCGAAGATAAATGGATTATTTATGTGAGCTTTTTATGCACCTGGAGTTTAACTTAACGAATTGCCGCCACAAATGGAAATGGCTGCAAGAATTGGCGAATGACTGGGTGAATAAGGGAAATAAATGTGAATTTTGAGGATTTTTGCGTGGGAATCCGATTTGAATTTATATTGAAAGTGAATAAATGGATGATATATCGAGAGGAAAAGGTGTTATTTATATTCCTTTCTTATTTCCCCCTTTCCCCCTGGCCGATATTTTTTCATACGTCTATTCCTGCTACACCTGGATATGGCAAGATATATCGATTTTGGCATTTTATTTCACCTTATGCTCCACATGCTTGTTTTGCCCTGTGCAAAATGCAAACAACCATCAGCACGTCAGGGCGAAATAGAATTTCCCGAAGCGCTGTTTACACACTGGGAAAGTTGTAGTTTTAATTTGGAATTACATACAAAAGTTGTTATAGTTGAAATTCAAACACTAAATGCATTTTCGAGAACATGACGATGATGTCGAGCAGTTTTCAAGGGTCCTTAATGTCAGTGTCTCAGTGTTTAAGAGTTTGTGCCATGAAACATGATCTCTCCTTCATCTTTTCACATAATAACGCTTCTGGGGCATTTACTCGTTTCCACACATTTCGTTTGTGTCTGTGTGTAAGTCTTTTTTTTATTCGGGAACATTGAACCCATTTTTGACCCTATTTTATTCATTTTATAACCTTTATGCTGTCATATTTCACCCCAAAGGTGAATGTCGCACAAAATTCCTTTTATGAAGATTGCCTCATAAGAATTCAATTGTAATGCCGTCCGCATTGGATGTTCACAAGGTGATTAAATAATATGCTCAGACAGGCCATACTTATTCGCTTACTGAATTGCCCCTTTTGCACGTGAAATAATCCAGTCAAAATGGAGTGTTTTTTAGTGGCATTACAGCATTTTTTATTAGTATCCTCACATTAGCAGTCAAACAATTTACATTTCCTCAGCACTGTGTCAATAAAAAGCCCCCTCAAAACATCGCGCGTATATAAAGCAAATTGTTTTTATCACTCGGAGTGTTGGGCGTAAAAATGGGTCAAATTTTACGGTGTCATGAGGAAAAAGTAAATCTTTTGACTCTTAGTAGAGTCCACAATTTGTATGGCACGTCATTAAAAATTTCTCCGTTCAGGGTTTAAAATGGGATGCATACAAAGTTGAGGGTGGAATATATGTATATTGTGATTTTCATTAAAAAGCCACAACAGAGAGTCGGTTTTCACTTGGTCACTAGAATATTTTATCCATGAATAATGAATTTTCACGGTGGTTTTTATGGTAGAAATTTCTTTACACTCCAATAGAGGATTGGTGGGCTAATTTGAGCGCGATGTTGCGGTTTGTTCCAGACCGAGTTAATATGGTGCAGTTCAAAGGGTTTTACGCACTATCAATTGTTTGATCTGCATTTTCATTAGTTTACAACAAAGTGTTTTGTTACACAAAATTTACACATTATTCAAATTCATTCTGGGATTTTCTGGGAGACTTATTTGATGTTAAATTGGTATGAAATAACTCAGAGAACAGGGTAAAGTTAAGGTGTAACTTCACTGGTAATTCTGTTTCATTTCTCTCATTTCCTCTCATAACTCTACGACATGGACGAAATTGTTGCTGAGTTTATTAAGAATTTGGTTAGATATATTGCAAATATTAGTTCCCAACTTTGTGAATGACTCCATTCATTCTCATGCAATCATGGAGTTGTGAATGTTGATAAATCTGCCACCCCACAACCGACCGAGAAACACACACACACCGAGCGAAACGGAAGCTGGGAAAGAAGTGGAATATTGTGTCAAAATGAACATAGTGAATACAAATCACAAGGATGTAAAATTTCTCATTGCTGGAACTCTCCTCACACTCGCTCGGCCCCCCATTTGGCACCACCTCCTTGCTTCTACACAAAACACTTTGACAAATTGAGCTCTGGTTTCTCCTCAGCAAAACATGAATTGCAATCCAACTCAAACTCCCCCCTCACTTTGCCCCATCGCCCGAGCTTCCAGAGCTTTCGGTGGGCGGCGATGTGAATTCTCAATCCCGAGGAGCTTTGCATCCCCGGGAAAATTAGATGCACAAGACGCGATGTTGTATGGCAATAGAGAAAAAAAATAATACGCGAAATACTTCTGCACACGGTATAATTTCAACAGAAAATATCTCATCTCCTCACACGCGAAAAGCTCTTTGAAGAGGCGCTCGATGATGGGAAAGTTGAAATATTTCCCTTCTCACATTTCGCAATTGTTCTATTATTATCTCGTCGTGAATGTATGGAAAAAGTTTATCGCACTTCAAAGACTGGAGCACAAGATATAGCGAAAAATGGATGGGGAGAGTGGAAAAGTACTTGAGTATTTGCAAAATGCAGAAATATCGTAAAGTGAAAAGCTAACGCGAAGAAAGTTTCTCACTGGAAAATTGTATCCATCCTCACGTCGATGAAAGAGTGAGTTATAGAGAAATTAGACAAAGTTGAGGGAGTGTAATTTGAAAATATTCTGTTACAGTTGACTGGGTGAAAAATTCACATTTTTACATTTGCAAGACAAATACTAAGTAGCTAAAGAACAACTTCTCTGAATCAATTTCACAACATTGTGTAACTTTACACTTAAATATTCGTGATATTATTTTCAAGAGATTATACTTAAACGTGTCGACCAAATACAGAGATGGATATTCATGAAAAATTGCGTTCATTTGACTTTACTTTCATATACCCTCAGAAATTCACATTGCAAGTCGAGCTTCGTTGATGAGCTTCCTCAAAAGAGTATCTTTTCTCATACTCTCGTAAGAAATATCATAGTCACGATTAATAAAGGACTCCGAAAAGGCACTCGGAGCATTTCATTACCAGCATTCAAGCCTTTGATGCTCAAGTCTCGGTGTTTTGATACGGAAACCGTTCCCGTGTTTACTCACCTCCCCCAAAAGGGCTGCGCATGAATGGCATAGATGCAGAAGCCGCACAGCGAAGCGCCCAAGATTGTGCAGTATAAATTCCAATTATGCAATCCGGTGAAGAAGCTCTCGATGTGAGACTCTCGGCGCGAAATTGCCCACAAATACCGGTTGATGCTGTGCAGGTGCATTGAAGGAGGTCAGGAGAGTAATTCCTCGAGATTGCCACACTCAATCTCACCCCGCTTGTGGGCACAATGTGTGGGTGTGACTGGAGAATGGGAAACATCTGGAATTTATATCTCTTGTACATTTAAATTCCACCCCTTCGGCTCCCCTTCCCCGCCACGGCGAACTGACAAATAGTCTTGGCGTGGCGAGAAGGGAAAACAATACTGTCTTCCCGCGCCAGTGAAAAATCACATCACACAAGACAACTATTTGGCGAAACATGAAGCAAACTCCAGCCTGAGAATTGGGTTGCTCTCGCATAGCATGCAATAAATTCTATACAAGAGCATTCGCCGGGGAAAATATGCAAACACGACACTCAAATGGCACTTTAAATCCCTTTTCAAATTTTCACAAATAACTCACAATGTCCCAGGATGTCTCAGGATGATGCCCAATGCATCCGCATACAAATGCCGCGATGGATGTCTCGTGCATCGCTTCCGGGCGTGCCTAAAGTGTGCAATACTGGACGCCGGGCGTGTTCTGTCGGATCCAGGTCAGGAAGCTCGTGACCCGGGTATTCACGGACGGTGTGGTTGCGCACTGTGAGCCGAAGCTGGCCAGCGAAGTGAGGTACAGCAGTCCGTTGCGAGGATTCGTCCACATGAGTGGTCCTCCGGAATCGTACTATGGAAGAATTCATTTCACCACTTTGCGCCTTAGAGCAGTTCGAAGACCACATCTCACCTGACAAGTGTCTCTGCCCGGCGTGAAGGTGCACAAGTGGGACGTCAGAATGTTGGGATTGTTGAGTCTTGAGGTGCACACCGAATTCGCCACCACGTCGAGCGTAACTCGCTGCAGGCGATTGCTTCGTGGTCCTCCATACTCGAGTGTTCCCCAACCGGCGGCCTCGACTCGAGTGCCCTGGGAAAAGACACCAAATGACTCAGCGACGAATTGCATCCTCACCTCTTCTGATTTCACTAATGCCCTCCCACTGGCCAAAGGGTGAGTGATATGCCAAGTTTAGTGAGTTCTATCCGTTGAATTTTTCATGATTAATGTTTCCGGTTCATGTCGCTGTATTATCACTCAATTTATATGCGAAGCAAACTAATTATAGTTCGTTCAATGTCAGGCTTTTTCGTGAAATAGATATTAGAAATGCCAGTTTTCCTTAGACATTATTTGGACAAGAATAGGAAAAAATTACGCTAAATTGCATCTCATGCACTTTAGGACATATTAAAGTGCTTAAAGATGCAGTGTTGCCTTCGGAATATCATTATAGGATGTCTCCTGAGGGATTATGTTGCCTTAAAGACATTAGAACGATCGATAGTCGCACACTGTGCAGAATAACTTGCCCGGAGACTGTTTGTCGATGGACGAGAGTGCAGAATTGTCAATTAACCCACCTGAAAGGTGTTTGCGCTATGGAGAAAGGGGAGGCAGACTGGCGCCACTCCGGCGTTGAAGAAGATAAGCGTCCGAGGCTGCACCAGCGCGATGTCATTGCGACTGGGGTTGGCTAGATAGCCGGGATGCACAATGTAGCGGGAGACGGTCAGGAGTTGCGTGAAGGGAGTGTCCAGTCCGGTGCTGAGGTCATGCTCTCCCACCAGCAGCCCTGCTCTGGTCACGGCCACACTTCTGGTGCAGTGAGCAGCGGTCAAGGCGTGACTGTTGGAAACTGAAAAACAGGTGAGCTTTTAGCGTGCGAAAGCTCTCGTCAGCGAAATCATTGCACTAACTTATCACAGCGCCGCAAATCACACTTCTAATCCGAGAGTCCACAAGTCCTGCCATCATCGGAAATTCATTCACACCCGCTTCAGTTCCGCCAACAATTCTAGACTAATTGATAAAGTTCCTGTCACTCCAGCTCTCTGTGTGGCAACAAAGTGTTCACCTCACCGTTCGTCTCCGGCCGCATTCGCATGGTCTTGCGGTCAGACTGCACAAGAATCGACCGCCGAGTGACGTCCTGGGACTCCTGAAGCCCACAACCAAGGTGTTTCCCACCGACTGCTCGATGATGCGAGTGGTGCCGCAGAAGGATAGCGCCCCCGAGAGACTGGCCAGTCCTTCTCGGGACACGAGGACGCGGTCATTGCGGCAATTGGTGCTCTTCCAGATGCAATATTTGTCGAAACAACATGTTGAATTTCATGAAAATGAAAAAGAACATGTTTTTCATTCATAATTGGCAAAAAACACATGCCTTGATAGCAAATATTTTGCAAATTCAGACGAAATGCCACCTCTTTAAATATTAACATTATTTGTACATGTTTTCTTGTGATATTGCAGAAATTTATTAGAAATGAAATGTATGTCTTTGTGTTTGAGATGAAGCCGCATGTCTTGCCACAGAGCTCAAGATAGAATGGTTCTAGGAAAATATATAATTTGATTATTTCCTAAGAAATGCAAATACCAATTATGAGCTATCACAGTAACAGATAAGAAATTTTGTATACCGAGTTTCCTTATCAGTGAATTGTAACTCACCGTCGGCAATTCCATCACTCTGCAGTCAATGTGGATGATCATTCCGGCCGGAGCCACGGCTGTCCAGCGACAATTCTGCTCTCCTCTGTACCGCTGTGGATATCCTGGCGAAAAGACGTCGTAACTCCTTCCGGCCACGAGTGTTTGCCTGTAATCGCATCCCTGCTGAGCGGTCGCGATGGCCAGAAGGCAAGTCGCAATCGCTGCAAGAACCGAGATAAATGTTTTGCCATTTCCTGACCACCTTTATTTGCCATTTGGCGCTGTGCAAAAGCGACTGCCGGCATATAAAACACTGATAACGCGAAGTCATTTTCACAGCTGATAAGTGTTTTATTGAACTGCATTTACCTGCCTGCAAAGTGCCTTTCATTTCCTGCCAGAGAGTGAGAGAGACGCGATGGGGAATCGATGATGCTCGCAAAAATTCTACTCCTTCACCGTCAACCCACGAACAGTGACTGTGAGAAGACTCCTCAACCCACGCAACTCCTCACGACGTGTCGCCCTCTCGCACTCCATCAACGCCGCTCTTCCTCACAAATGGTGTGATAAGACAATAAATTAATTATACCCACGAATTGTCATGTTAATTGCGTGTTCAACTTCCCTGGGACGAATTCTCACTCTCTCGCTCTCGAGATTCAAAAACAGCTCTGCAAATCCGCGTGTAGGTGGAATTTTTTTCTGGATGGCTGAGGAGGCAGCTAAGCAAATAGACATTTGAATGCCGATTGTCGAACAATCTACGCAATTTCTCTTCGTCAGCGCCAGCAATGATAAGAATTCCTCGTGAAACTCTCCGTGTTCTTGACATTCCTTCACTTTCAGTTGCATTTTCCTCATTGGCATTCGCATTTCCACGTGTAATGACAAAAGTCTTCAAACGAACAGAGGAAAGGAAGAAAGCAAACTTCCGTGCATTGATTTCGAGAATTCTGGGAATTTTCAATAGCATCTGTTTGAGAATTTGAGTTATTTCAATTCAAAGTCTTCAGAATTATAAACTCCAGTGGACTCTAGAAATTGCAATATTCCCTGTCAAATTAGTTTAATTTAATTCTAAATCAAGAATGTGTCGTGAAAGCTCAAGGAGGGAGCTTTGCAATTATGTTAGAAATCATCAAAGCTCCTCCTCAACGCCACTGGTTAAGTGTGATTTTATCTCTTATCTGTCTCTGTGTCGATTTGACAAGGTCTCGAGTAAGGCCGTCGCACTGAAATACTCATTACATGCCCACAATATTTATTGTCTTCATTGTAAACTGATACTGTGCAGTGTGCTCTTCATGCCACTGAATGTGTGCTGATCGGGGTGCTTATGGCCAGGTGCAGAGCTGAAGTTCATAGGAGAAGACCGTGCCCGGACCGCAAGGCATCAGCAGAGGATCGTTGATCGAGCGACACTGCCAGAAGAATTGCGCATGATAGGACGGGAAGAGCGTGTGAAGTTGATCTTGGCTGCAGTCTGGTGGCGGTCCGTAGCCATCTTCATCTCCATTGCCTCCTCCTCCGCCTCCGTTTCCTCCATTTCCACCATTTCCATTATCCGTGCATGGCGGACAAGCAGTTGTGGTTGTGGTCTCAGGACACGGAGGACAAGTTGGTGGACACGGAGGACAATCAAGTCGGTCCACTGGCGAGGAGTTGATGGGCACTGAAGCGCCCAGGAGAGCCACTAAAGCCACAAGAAAAACGGTGCCTGACAAGAGAAGATATAAAGAATTGAAATCACTGACTTTTCGCACAAATTTCAGCACTTTTTACCACGCATCTTCACTAGAAAACCTTCACTGTTGCTTTGTGAACTTCGTCTTGACTTCCCGCACATTTATACCCACTCAAGAAGTCATCAGTCTTGCCAGCAATTGAATATCTTGCCATCAAGCCATGCAACTTCAATCATTATCACATATTAAATTCTGCCAAATTCCACGAATTTCCATCAGAAACCGCAGAAACAGTCAAATATGCTGGAAGTTCACATTGTCTCTGGCATGATGGATTGTCTCGTGTGATTAGATATCATCGGTTAGCAGAAATTTTGGGCGGTTCCTCGCGAAAACGTAATCAGCAAATCACTGTTCAGTTCCAGGAATCACGAAAATGGAGAAAACCCCAGCAAAGTTACTTTCCCGTAGCCTTTTAAGCTCAGCTAACAAGGAAATTCCTCATTAAAGCGTCGGATGTAGTTTTTACTGTGCACTTTGTGGTGTATTGAGGAAATTGCAGTGCTCAGCTCTTAGCCAGCTAAGTTGATTGGTGCAAATATTTGAGTAGTATAGCAGACATTTACATAATTCACTATCATAATTAATATGCCTTGGCAAATTCAACAATAGAACAGAAGCAACAGAAGCAATTTGATAGCTTCTCAGTGCATATAATTCATGATTGCATGTGAAATGAGATCTTAAGCAAAGCGAGAAAAGCTATGATATTGATATTGAAGAGAAGAACGAACATTTTAACTACATTTCAATGAATTTTTTACATAAAATAGACCTCTGTTATAATTCCATTAGTTTAAAATGTGAATTCTTGTTAATCGCGGCTGAAAGTCACTTGAAAAAAGATTTACCGAGAGGGAAAACGTGAGTTACTGAAAAAGGGAATAATTTTATTGATTAATACAGATTAGAATGGAATATTTGAAAGAAAATTAAGAGATAAATTGATGAAAAGTGGTAGTGATGAAAATTTGTGGAAAAACCTGAAGAAAAAGAAAGAAATGTAAGCTGAATTTTGGGTTAAAGTCTATGAGAAAATTAAATGAAACGTCCATTAGAATAAAGTCCAGATTCTAACAGATCTCTAAACTTGCTAAATATGAAATTACGTTACTCCGTGAGTGTTATAAAATGCATAAGAATTTTGAGAATTAAAGAAGAAAGCTAATCTCTTAACTTAAGAGTGTGCTTTCGGCGCTTTCGCATCCAAGACGCATTTGCCATCGAATTATCCGTGACACTTTTTATTGACTCCTTCAGCGTTTCTTGAATTTATCAAATCAATTTTTTAATTACACAAATTTTCTGCTTATCTATGCATTGTTACAAACCTGATTTTTAATACAGCCTACATTTAATACAGCCTTATGGCTCTACTAAATAATTAAAAAACCAATAGTAATACGGAAATCCACACAAAATGCACTAAATAAATTGTGTTCTAGAAATTATTTCTTAAGTTTACTAGCTTCAAAGTGTCTTAATAGACATTTTTTCATTGATGAAACAATTTCAGAGACACCAGGAAAGTAAAAAGACAGCAAATTCTTCCAATTTAGCAGATATTTATTCAGAAATCAGCTTTTCTGCTCTTCCGCGAGCGTTTTTTCTCAGAAGAAAGACGCCGAGCAGGCGTTGGACCAGAACTGCGGTTGAACGCACACTTGCTGGGCGAAGTCGAAGCACGTTCCGGGAGCACAAGCGCGGGCCACTGGCAAGCCGATGCCGGCGCATTGGTAGAACTGCGTGGCCGTGCGACTGGGGAACAACACGTTCCTGTTAAACTCGTCCGCCGAGCACACTGGCACCGTGCAGGAGAGTCCGCCGTTGCTTGGCGGCGGTCCCACGCACAACTGATTGTCCGGCGGCGGCTCTTCTGGCGGCTGCTCCGGACAGGGCGGACAGAGCGTCGTGGTGGTGTCTTCGGGACAAGGCGGGCAAGGCGTGGGCAGATCGAGCGGCTGGCAGGGATTCACGGTGTCAGTGGGACGGCTGGGCGGCGACATTGGCGGAGACCACTGCCACAAGTGCTCAGGCACGCACGTCTGCCACTCTTCCTGGAACTGCGTGTACGGCGCGCAGTGCCTCACCTCTGCGCCCTGCGCCCAGGCCACGCACTCCCAATACCTCGTGGGGTCCTCGTGATTGCGCCACAAGCGGCCAAACTCCCCGCGAGTGCGGCATCCCGGCTGCCCGTCGCCGGACTGCGGCATCGGACGGCCTCCGAATCCTTCAGCGACGCCTATGCCGACGCACAGGCCAAGAACAAGTAATCCAAAATGCGCCATCGCGCGTGTCACTGTATATACTCGCCCAGGAGATCCACCGGGTGTCTTTTATAGGCTCCCCATGCACTCCTCAATCATCCGATAAGGTCCGTCATTGGCGTTAATTAAAAGGGGAGCCGAATTAACTCGTCACAATCTGTGATGGATCAACGGTCAGATAATCTAACTTGAGGTATTTGGCGAAAACAAGCCCTTTTGTGCCCAAAATATCCTCCGGAAGTTGTGTGAATCACATCCTGGGTCATCTTCTTGGTAGACAAAGAAATTCTGCTCGTCAATTCCAATTAATCCATCAAAATATATCCGAAAAGCACATTGATAAGTTTGATATTGAAATTCATGGCGTTTTGATAAGGAATTCAGAGAAGTTTCCCGGACATTCCGATCAATTCTGTGCCTTAAATTCTATTATAAATACTTCTTTTGTGAAAATCTAATCAATTTTCTGACGAAATAACCATTTAATCGTAGAAATTTGGCAAAAAATATTTATTTCCCTCCACTTACCGACCAAACAACTTGAGAAAGCTTAAATAGAGTCCCTCGCGGGATGAAACGGGGAATTGTGTCCGGAATTCAGGAAGCCAGGCGCGCCTTTCGGTGGGTTCATCTCAGCTTGAGGACGACATACAGAAGCAGCAGGATGGCCAGCACGAAGAGGAACATGTAGCACATGTAGTTGCGATGACCGCCCTTGCCCAGGCGCAGCACCCGGCCCATTGTGTTCTTCAGGATGCCTGACGTGGACTCCATGTCGTCGTCCATTCCCACCAACAGGCGATCCTGAAGGCGCACTTCGTTCCCGATGTCTATCGTGAGTGTCTTCAGGGCGCCAATTTTGCCCTTCAGCTCCTCCGCCATGCGCTCGTTCTCCTCCTCCAAGGCATCGTGGCTGCTCGATGGGGCGCTCTGGGGCACCGGCTGATAATTGTAGCCCTGCGATCGACGCATCTTGTCGCTCTGGCGCGCCACTTTGCCAAAGCTTTTTCACCTGGAGCGACACGTGAGATTTTGCAAATTTCTAGGTAATTTGCCACTCTAGAGGTTTATTACTCGTCTGACACTAACAATTCGTTCGCTCTAAGTCAGGAAATGCATTTAAAAGGATGGTAAATAAAGCGTGAATTTTTACTTTTGCGCTGTCTCAGAACTGTCAAATACGTGGCCTTCCAGGATTCCCGGGCCTTCCAATGGACGTTATCCAAGCACACAACCAAATTCCACATCCGAGACACAATATTATCTATGAAAAATGAAATTTGATGATTTGAAATATTCAGTAAAATTCTTGGTAAGTCGAAAAATATAGTATTAAATGCTAAATAATGTAATTTTACACTGCAATATTGTAAAAAGAGAAATAAAACAACAGACTATCTGGCGCTATTCATTAACCATATGAAAATCAATGATATTTGTTCACGCCTAAATCTTATCAAGCATTTCTTATCAGAATTCAAGGGTCATTCTTCGCGATTGCTGACCAAAATACACAGAGAAACGAAATGCGTAAACAAATAAAGCACAATTAGATGGATTATAGGGGATTTTTTCTACGCAGACCCGATAATTTGCACGTGTCTCTGGATGTGAGTGCGAAATTCTTTCCCAATCGCTCAGTTTCTTGCCAAAAATCGTGCAACATGGATGTGATTTCGTACTGGACAGAAACTGGGGAGTTTACTCAGAGCACTTGGCTCAAAATACTGCGGATAATTGGTAAATTTACACATTTGTGAAGAGTTAGAGGAAAATTCAACAATGTCATTATAGGAAAAGATGGCTTCACTCTTTGGGTGACTGTACCGTTCATCTGGACATTTGTGTTATACTGGACAGTTGGAGGATTGTATCTGCTGATGGATATCACTGAAAAGCCGGCTTTTCTGCGAAAGTACAAGATCCAACCTGGAACAAATGAGCCAATGAACAGAGAGAAACTCACGAAATTGCTGAAAACCGTGCTTTTCAATCAATTTGTCATCGGTTTCCCGATGGCGTTTCTTAATTGGCACGTTATGAAGGAGAGAGTGGACATGAATGTGGTGGAACTCTTTCCATCACCGGCAAGAATCCTCCTGGATCTTATCGTTTGTCTGCTTCTAAATGAGATTGGCTTCTACTATAGTCACCGCTTGCTCCACAGTCGTCTGCTGTACAAGATAATCCATAAGAAGCATCACGAGTGGACAGCTCCGATCGCCATTTCAGCGATGTACTGCAATCCCATTGAGCACACGTTCAGCAACCTTGTTCCGCCCTTCTTGGGCCTCTTCGTCATGAGAAGCCACCCTGCGACAGCGTGGATTTGGTTCAGCATCGCCATTATGGGCACCTTGAATGACCATTCGGACTACCACTTCCCATTGCTGCCCAGCCCAGAGGCGCATGATTTCCACCATCTCAAGTTTAACAACTGCTACGGTGTTATTGGACTGCTCGATTGGCTGCACGGCACTGATAAGATGTTTAGGGCATCGCGGGCGTTCGATCGACACAAAATCTCACTCACCATTGCGTCGCAAAGGGAGAAGTTCCCAGACATTGTGAAGAAGACTCTCTGATTAGAAGGTCACTTTCCCAGCTGACTTATCGCTCAGAGGCAATAAATTTATCACTGATATTAATTTTGACGCGGTGTTGGCAATTTTTCAATTCCATTGCGAAACTTTCAGCCCTGAAGTAGTCCCGAGGATTCGTTTCATACATTTCGCGCCGAAAGTGGACACTGGAAGTCGCGGAAACGAGACTGGAAGTGGACGTGAGGTTGTGTGAGTGAAACTTTCTCTTCCAGTCTAATTTTAGAGTGAAGTTCACGTAAACAAAGTGTTTTCTGACCATCAATTTGCCTCCTATTGCATCTCTGGGAGAATTTAATGGTCTCGAAGTACAATCTGGCAGTGAAATTACAGTGAGAGACTCATAATTGCAGTTCATTTCCTCCCAAATCCACAATTTTAACCTCACTTGCAGGAATCATGGAGAAGAGGCCTTCCCGGTTTTACACCTTCCTGCCCATCTTCATCTGCAGTCTGGCCATTCCCCTGTCCATGTTCATGTGGCTCGGGCACCTGGCTTTCATCAAGTTCACCACACATCCTGAATATGACGGTGAGTCAGTCGCAGAGCCGCTCCCGGAATCAAAACTCTCACTCGTCACTTCTTTTCCAGACACTCTGGAGATTCCTCCGACTCGGTGGCTCGCTTCCGTCCTGATACCCATCTTCTTCGCCGTGTATGGCTACCGCCGGAAGAGCGTGAACGCCTCCGGCGCCGTGCTAGGCTTTGTTATCGCCGTTGTTCTCACGGTGGCCAATTACGCCTTCTTGGGCTGTCTGCTTGTCTTCTTCCTGTCCTCGTCGCGCGCCACGAAGTTCCGTGCCGCGCAGAAGGCCAAGATAGAGGAGGACTTCAAGGGCGGCGAGGGCAAGAGGAACTGGATCCAGGTGCTCTGCAACGGCGGCATGGCGCTTCAACTCTCGCTGCTGTACCTGATTGACTGCGGCCCCGGCGAGCGGCCAATTGACTTTTCGCGACTCTACCGCTCCAGCTGGCTGGGCATCGCCCTCCTGAGCGCCTTCGCCTGCTGCAACGGCGACACGTGGGCCAGCGAGCTAGGCAGCGTGCTGGCCAAGGCAGATCCCTTCCTCATCACCACGCGAAAGCGCGTTCCGCGTGGCACCAACGGCGGCGTGACGCTCGTGGGGCTCGTGGTGAGCTTCCTGGGCGGCCTGGTGATCGGCCTGATGTACTTCCTCACCGTCATCTACACCGTCGACCGAGCGATCCTCCTTCGGGGTCCTGTGCAGTGGCCGTTGATCGCATTTGGCGGCATCGCGGGCCTTCTGGGCTCCGTCATTGACTCTCTGATCGGCGCCACGATGCAGTACTCGGGCCAGGACGAGCAAGGACACATCGTAGAACGCCCAGGCAAGGGAGTGCGCCACATCAGCGGCATCCGCATCCTGGACAATCACAGCGTGAATCTCATCTCTAGCATCGCCACGGGAGTCATCATGCCCAGCCTTGCCGTCCACTTCTGGCCGTGAGGACGCCAGAGATTGTCTTCGCGCTAGCAATCACTAATTTAATGTTGTAATGAATTTACACCTCAGAATATCTGGTCACAGATAAATGCGATATATGTAATAAAAGGCGGCAAATATCTGCTCATAATGTCTTTAAGGTCATCATTAATAGAAATCACTAAACTTTAACGCCTAAATTTAGTAAATTCACTAAACATTCCACACTTGCGTTCCTCCCTAGTTTTATTTATGTTAATTTATTAATCTAATTTAACTTAAGTGCGACACTTTCGGCATAGTTGAAAGCTTAATGGCGCAATATCTAGCCAAAATTGTCGCCTATAAATAAACCCACGCCCGAATGGTAAAAAATTGCACAATAATTTGCCTTCGGCACGCCAAAGTGGCCCCAATAGACGTCCAATAAAAGGCGTGTTTGAATTTTAAAGCCACCCAAAGTGTTGGGATTCAGTGGAGGGAATCTCTGAGAAAATTTACCGATGTTCTCGACTGGCAATTGATTTTCTCTCCATTTCACCACATTCAAATTAACCCCTTTTTATTGTTCCCGTGCCTGAGCTTTCCCACGGCGGCGTGGCGTGAATGTGTGGCGGGCAGGATGAGAAAATCCATTGGAGCACCACGTAATTCTTGTTCTGCTCTTTTGCATAATATACTGCCTGTGGAAATATTCTGGCACAGTGGGCAATAAATTGAGGATGTGTCTGGCATAATTAACACAGAATTGAACATTTCACCTCCAATCGAGAAGGTGGGGCCCAATGAAAAACGATTCAATGGATTTTCGCTTCGGCCATGCGAAGGAGGAAGTGAATTTTGGGGGCGGGGGAAATGAGTTTTCTGAATTCATTTGGCAGAAAAATGGCCATTTGACTTGAAATTACATTGGAATCGCATTTAAACCCCAAGCAATGGTGAAATCATTTGGGGGAAGCATTTGATAAATTCTCCAGAGCTTTCTTTTCAAATCAACCCACAAATAGTCAAAAGTAGAATCAGAACAATGATGGCCTTCGATTCTAACGCTTGAAATTGTACTCAATATTGGTCATCTTGCTTCAATACACCTTCAGTATTGAGAAATGCACTCAAGGGCGTTTTGTTAGTGAAATAATATGGTAAATAATCAGTTAAGAAATCTTTCAAGTCAAGACCAGAAAACTTCCATTCGTGAAGTAAGTAGAAACTTTAGCTTTCACTCTATGAAATGCTGCTGTTTTTTTTCTGATTCCCTTCAAGTGCAGGTGTAACAAATTCAACCCACATTATCTCCTTCTTGACACATCGAGCTTTCTGGGGGGAAAGTCTTTAGGAAGCAATTCTAATGCAAAACAGCAGAGAATTGCGCCCCTTGATTGTCCTTTTGATGGATTTCCGCGCGGGGGTTTTTTTGTGGCCCCAGAAGGCAGCCAACATGGCCCATTTCGCCCCACTGTGGGTGTCACCCTGATTATTTCTGCTGCTCCACACGCTAACAAGCTCCACAGTCAATGGCGGCAATGAGGCGGAAATACCTTCTCTGTCTTCTCCCCATCTGCCACTTGATTCATTACGTGTCATTATATAACTTCTTCACGTCTTCACGGGCGCTTTTTCTTCCGCCCCCGCCGCATTTCGCCCTGAAGCTTCACTCTGAAGTGTCCCTCGTCGACGAGAGTGCCACCGACGAAGGGGGGAGAAAGAGAGCTTTATTGGCATTTCGGACGCCGGGAATTGCAGTGCGAGAATGCAATTTCACGGCAATGTGAAAACCTCTGCAAAGCCTCGCTGCACAGCTCAATTTCCCACCTCAAGAGCCGGGAATTGAGGTAGAAATTGAGGTGGGGGAGGTATAATTAAATTTAATTGCCAATAATTTATATTGTTGGCGATTAGTTGCTCGTTAAGGGGAGTTTAATACTTTCGCCCAAAGCAGGCAAAATCTCCTTCGCCATGGGACGGTAAATGAGGAGCATAAATGGCAATTTAGGGCTTTTTCTGACTTCGCACGCCAAATGGGGCGAATAAGAGGGCATTTCTCCATCTCAAGATTGATTTGCAACCGAAGCGAAGAGACCAAAAGTGTTCTCACGCCCCCTTTAGAAATGCAGCCCCACGAAGAAGAAAATTCAATTAAGCGACACAAGAGTTAATTTGCAGGCCAAATTGACCACTCTTGAGAGCATCTGAAGGACGGGGGCGGTTTGTGTGGGGAAAAGGGTTGCGCCAATTCACAAATGACTCCCATTGTCGTTGGGTGTAAATTCCAATTTGTGAATTCAATGTTTGGCAAATTCATCCCATTTGTCCCGGGGCGAGTGTGTGACTCTTATACTTTCGGGGAAAAGTGCTAATGACGTGGAAATTAATCACAACCACCCAATAAATTATCCACACCCACCATCCACAGCCGTGGAGTCTCGGTGGAGAAGTTGATGATAATTTGTTGGGTATGAAATTCGCCACCCTCAATTCCTTTTCTTCACTCTAAAGTCACGGAAATCACGCTGTTGTGCTTTCCCATTGTGCGCATCCAGTGCGGAAATGATTCAACTGATTGCTCGATAAACTTCTCAAGCTCAAATTGGTAAGCTTCAAACTTCAAAACTTTTACAGCCGCCAATAAAAGCTCTGGCAATTCTCAACAGTCGTCTGGCGATGCTTTATAGCAATGATGCTGTAAAATATACTGAATAGTTTTAATACCATCTGACTTCTTCCGTCATCGCGAGTCTGTCAGATTCCGTGGGAATCATTTCGTGGCAAGACAACCAGCTTATAGATGGAAACTTTCTTGGAATTCGATTTCAGGCTTTTTATGTATTATCCAAGGGGGAGATAATATGCCCTAAATTTATACACCACTTCCTTAGTCTCTAATAATTACGTTGAATTTGCCAATTTTTTATGCACAAACCGCTGAAATAACTAAACAAAGAGACATTCTTCTAGACTGGAATAATATTTTTGAAGTTATGATTGATTTTAAATCTTTATCTAAATCAAAATGAAGTTTTTTCGAAGAAAAATACTCAACTATGATAAAAAAAAGAGTAATATTCTTAATTTAAACACAAATTAGATAATTTTGAGGGTTATTTATTCGTCAGAATTGATTTTAAATCAATCACATAACATAGAAAACAACAAAAATGATCTTACACTGTACACCACTTCCGACCATAATATCTGCCTCTTTGTATTGTCTATAGAATTTGCGCGAAAGAATTGGACGCGATTCCAGCTCATAATTTTGACTAATACGGCCAAAAAAGTAATGCTTATTAATCGAAATAACACAAGTCACCGGTTCAAATCCCACAACGAGTTGTGGGGAGGATTTTATCCTCTTCTTTGATCATCTTTGCTTGCGTGCCGAAGGAATTTTTCATGAGATTGACTTCTTTTCTGTTCCATCATTTTCATATTCACGTCATAAAGCCACCTTTGCGCCAATGGCGGTTATTATTCTGGCCCAGAGTGAATGAAAGAGTTGAGGTGATTTTATCGAAGGAGGTCCTCCATAATGAGAATTACTTGCGGCTGGGTAGAAATCTTCGATGTGTGAAGAATACGAAATTTCCTTAGCGAAGAGCCACGTTTTTTCCCTTCTATCTCAAACTGGATTGAGTGTCAATCAGGCTGTTTGAAAGCCCTGAAACTTTTTAGGCCTCTTTCTTTTTCCTTTCTCTCAAATTGCCTTCTCTTTTGAGGGTTTAGAGTAAATGAGTGGAAATATCTTTTAGGGTTTTTCACTGTTCAAACAAGATTGGAATAGAGAGTATTTTTCCCTCACACGAAGGTCACTTCTGAAGTGTCACACTCTTGAAGAGTCTCTTAATATAACTGGGAGAATTTACATAAATTCAGAAAGCATATTGCGTCCACGAGGAAATTATGGGGACTTTGAGGAAATGTAAGATTTCCATAAAGTGGATAAAAGCACTCTGACAAATGAAATTGCATTCGTCTCCGACAAAAGACTCGCCAATTGATTGAGAGGCGGTGAAATTGCATGCAAATTGATGTCACTCGAAAAGTTCTACGCCGCCGCCCAAAAAAAGAAGAGAAAAGGCTCTAGCCTAGGAATAACAAGGGAGGACAAAAGGAGTAACTCTCATGGCCATAAATTAGATGCGAAATGGGATTAAGTCCAGACGAATGCTGACGATCGCTCTCCTCATGCCAAGACGCTCCTCAAGGCTGCCAGAGTCCATCTCACGGTGTCCCCGAAGATGTTTTCCCCCGCGAAACTGGTTCAATGTCTCACAGAAGCGAGGAGGAAAATGGGTAAATTGGCACTCAGCTCGAGATACTATCTTCTCTCCATATATAGTTAAGTCTTTGGTCGAGAGCCAACAAATTGCCAAGCATTCAGCATCAATTGATTTCACCAGCAATTCCCGAAGAGCTATTTAGCTGAGGAAACAGCTTTTATTAAGCAAAATACAGAATGCACCACTCACATTGATGCCATCATTAAAATAATTACAGGATTTGTGCACTTGAGGGATTATTTGTTGGAAAATCTAGTGCGCCACAGACAAATATTTTTTGGGTTAAAAGACTGTGTAAGAAAGTCATCTTCAGCATGACGCACTATTGCATTATACTTCTAATTAAACTTGCATTGTCCTCGTCAGTTTGACATCCTTTGGAGACTGTGATTTTTGGCAAAAAGTCCTTCTCTGGGTGCTGAGATTAATTCACGGCGCACGGCAAAAAGCGTGTCAGGGAGAAACTCAAAGTGTCTCCATGGCGTGACAGTGCAGGAAATTTGAGAAGTCTACAGCTCCAAGATGTTGATGCCATGTTTTTCATGCACTCAACAATGACTCCGCGTCAGAGTCCTTCACTGTCATCGCGTGTGTTATCAATTAATTACACCTCATCACGGTGACATTTAATTTTCCTCCGGGCTCGGAAGAATATCTTAGCAAATGCAGAGCTCGTGATCGTCATATTATGTTTTTGGCGCTCAAACTTTTGCACTCTCTCCCTCCATCCCCCCGCCCATTGATAATGATGCTGTAATTTGCTCTTCACTCCTCACTTTTCCCCACGTGTGTGGCTGATGAGACTTGGTTTCTGAGGTGCGACTCCGGCGGCGAAATAATAGTGTGTGGAGCGAATGCGGCGCCCAGGCGGAGTTCATTTAGCAATGGGCGTATAAGTTTGCCAACGTGGCTCTATATGGCAGTTAGTTTGCGGCTGTGATGACATTTTCAACAACCCACCCACACCTTTCGCCTCACCCTCGCCGAGTCTCGGTCTGAATGCGAAACTGCTTTTGGGGCTGCCGTCACGACTGTAATCCTCAGTTGTTTTTGGGGGCAGCGAAGCGCCACTCAAAGTGAGTTAAACAATTTCTTATAATGTCTCTGTGATTTTTCTAAATATATATTTTATACTGATGCAAATGTGAAAAAAAATGTTCATTCTCAAGTGCATTTCTTTCTCTGAAAATAAAATCTTAATTTAACAAACTACCAAAGTTTCTACAAGTGCACGAAAGCAGCTTGAGTGACAAACTCATTAACTCACCTCTTAAGCAATTGTGCGCCTCTCACAATTCTCAGCCTGCGAATGAGTTTCTCCCACCGAGAATTTTCCACCAAATGCGATGTCATTTCCAATGATATACGACGCAATAAAGGGTTAACGAGGTAAGACATTGTTTTTATGATAATCTCCCCAGCGCCAGCGAGGGTTGCCCTCATCTCCGTCCCTCCATCAAATGGCAGTTGGTAGTGGCTCTGCTGACAGCACTTCTGCCCGAAATCCCATTTTGCCTTCTCGGCTCTCTGAAGACAAGCGACGATGGAGCGGCATCAATAAAACAAATTTTGCGATTTGTCTAGTCACACGAGCGCAATTCCCCATGCTGAAGGATTTTCACGCAAAATAGTTTGTGAGAACTTTTATACTAAAATATCTCTTTATTTTATTACACTTTCACAGAGCTTCTGTCTCTCTCTCTCTCTCTTTCTCTCTCATCTGCACTATTTACAATCCTCACGCACATGATCAAATTTCTAATTATCACGTTTGCCCATTCATCAACGGAACTATCGTGCTATTCCATCTACCAATTTTACACAGTTTAACTATTATTTTTTTTTCACCTTAAAATACAGACATTCTCATGGACTTCTTCTCATGCTTGAAAGTCATGTGTTTAACATCAATTTACTATTTTTAGTGGTTGTATTTTCTGGGGTATGGGGGTGGGGGGAGGGAAACTTTTACAGTGAAATACAGAAGTTCTTAGAAGGTATTTTTTTCTTGCAGTTCATCTATATAACTATGTAACATTGTGACTTTCCTCTGAGAATTCTTTGCGAATCCTAACTAATTTGTACACCGGACTTTTCAATTGATTTCACACGTTGAAACTCGGGGAAAAAAGACAGGGAAACTCGTTAATCAGTGTCTCTCTGAGCGTTGATGGTGTCAAGCTAAGCTCGAATTCTTAAGTACTTAATCTACAACACTCAAATACTGACCTGCCCTCATCAAGAGAGAGAGACACTGTGTGTGTGCAGCCAAAATGGGAGGGGGAGAATTGCTCGGGAAGGGTTTTTAATTTAAACATCAGAGATTTGAGGCCAAGAGAGAAATGGATATGAACAGATACAGTAAAATTGTGTTCTTAGCACCATTGTCGAGTTTTTACTTCTTCTTCCTCTCCTGGATAAGCACCGGACGAAGATCATCAATCCAGTGTGAAGTTTAGTAGCACTTAAGACTAATCACACCATGACTAGAGATGAGCTTCCAATGATAGTCTCAATCATCTGTGGAAATGTGCCATTTTCACCCTTCACACATCCTCAAACAGCCGACACGATAAGAAGGTTATCAGTGGGCTGCGGGAGGTGGAAAATTGAAATTTTACCTCTATCCATCAACTTGCTATCTGTTGGCTCTGCCGGTGAAGATGATTGAGATGAATTGATGTGTTTCCTCTGCCCCTTTAATCCTATTTTAACATGGACTCTGCGTTACTCAGTTAGACACTCATATCTTCCATTTATAATTTGTGTACATATGTGGATTTTCTCTCTGTGTAATTTGGTAATCTCTAGCTTCTCTATTGCATCCATGAAAGACATCTCCGCTCGAAAAATATCTCACTCTCTCTCACTTCTCGCTTCATCAAATTATTATCTTATACGGACAATTTTTCGTGCTGTCGCGCAACACACGTTAAAATTTCTCTACTGACGCACTGCTCGTGACCGTGTCCTATGACACCAGCCTCTTGAATCCCGCTCCCTCGTGTCCCAGCTTCAGCTCCTCGTACAGCGTCGGATTGACCTCCGTGGCCATCGGCACCACGGCGTTTTGCTCCACATTTGTCGTGCCGGCGGGCGTCTGCAGGACCTCCTGGCGCCACCCAGCATCACCCGCTGAGTCGCCCGAAACGGCCGGAATCTAATTCAATGAGACACTTCTCAAGTCCTCCGCCATGGGAAAACTTCCACTTAGGAAATCCCCGGGGCGCTTTCGCGCGCGCGAGGCTAATTAAAACCCATAATTGGCTCTTCTGCAGGGTGATTCCATCGGAAAGGACACTTTAACACGGACTCCGCGGAGCTTAATATCATGAAATTTAAGCAAAAGGAACTTTTGAAAGCAACCAAAGAGCTGCAATGAAATTATGGATGAATTCTTGCCAATAGACAGAAAAGGAGCACTATAAATTCTCCATAAGAGAAACTAATTTTCTATGAAGCTTTGTGGCTTTTTCCACAGCCTTCTAAACTACACATTTTCACTCGAGATCTCAATCTAATGATTCTAATGGATTCAAAAACTTTAAGAACACTTGTTATAACCATCAATCTTGGTAGAGATTTTGAGTATATCTATTCACAATTTTCGTAAAGTTTGCATTCCTTTTAGATAAGAGAGCACTCAAGGCAATTTCATCACTAAAAGCAACATTGTGACTCTCCATCTCATGATGTGCTCAAAGTGTTGACAATTACAGCATTAACTTTATGATGATTCATCAGAATGGTAAGAATTCTGCACCGGAACAAGTTTGAAAGCTTTTCTATACTCGAGAATCTCCATCATTTGTGCAAAAACACGTCCAAATAGCAACAGGGAAAACTTTCCACGAACAATATATGCAATTGCGCTCGAAAATCTCAAGAGACACACTTTCAGAATGCATTATTTGCGCGTCACTTTCAGAGCCTGACAATGGGACGTAGTGAAGGCATAACTTGAGACTTTTCACATCGAATCATCCTGCTGGAGAGCATTAAGAGTGCGTCTTAAAAATAGTGGATTGGACTTACGTGAACGTGCTCCATGTTGACCTCACGAAGATAGCTGGGATTCTCAAAGGCCACGCCATTGGCGGCTTTGAGACTGCCGCGGCGGCGCTTGTACAGGAAGATCGCCGCCACGGCCAGGCCGATGGCGAGAATGCCCGCGAAGACGCCGCTAATCGTGCCTGCGCTGCCCGCGTGCGAAGCCGACGTGACGTGATGATCGCCGAGGGTGAAGCGCAGGGGATCCGTGAGGACGCTGGCGCCCTGGTGGTTGCCCGCCTTCACCACCAGCTCGTACATCACGTGCTGCTTGAGACCGTCAATCCGGATGCTGGTCTCCTTCGCGTCCAGGCGACTCGTGCCCAGGCCGTTGATTGTGTTCTGCAGACTCTCCGTGCTGGGATTCACGTCGTGCCAGAACACCCGGTAGCCCTCGACGGTCTGCGGATTCTTAATCGGAGGATCCCAGCGGACCATGACCTCCTCATTGGAGAGGATCGTCACGGCGAGGTTCTGGGGCGGACCAGGCAGCAAATCCCTATTGGACTGGAAGCATCCAATAATGGTCCTGGTGTGCTGCACCTGCATTCGAGCATCGAGACCTCAATCTGCCATTCTTACTCTCTAAAGTTAGACTCTGAGACTCACCGGACACAGCTGACCGTTCCCGAGTGGCTCTCCGCGGCACCAATTGAGACACTTCCTCGGCACTTCCTGGCTGGCACAGCAAGCTCTGTGATCGGATCCATCAGCTGCGCATTTCATCAGCTTGTCAAAGTCCACAATGCACTCCGGGCGGTCGATCACCACGTCGATGTCAATGTAGAAGCTGCACGCGGACATGCACACCGCGGAGACGTTCTGGGCGATGCAGCACTCGGAGATGTTGTGCACGGCCGGCGTGTTGCGCATCCTCACCGACACGGCGCGCGTGATGGAGCCCAGAGCGTTCTGGGCATGGCAATAGTAGTCCCCGATGTCAGATCCGCCCAGCTTTGTGATGTGCAGAATCATGGTGTAGAGCGATGGATCGTCGGGATCCGTTGTCAAGGACATATCGTAATTCCCACCCTGAATCACCGGCACCCTGCCGTCGTGATCGCGCCAGAACATCGCCTTGGGCGAGGGTTTCGCCTTCACCGTGCACTTGAGATCCACTTGCTCACCAATTGAAGCCACCGTGATTTCAGAAGCCTGAATGCGAGGAGCATCTGAAAGAATTCCACACTCGTCAATCTCTCCATCTCAGCATCCCGGCCAGCACATATTTTTATTGCGCATAAGAACGGAAATTTAATTATCCACACGGAAATGCAACATCGTTGCATATCACATCCGCAATTCATTGCACAAAATTGCCAACCAAATTCAGGAATATTGCATTTTTTACATCCCTCGGCGTTCTTTCAACAATAAAATAAGCAAAGGAGAATACATAATTTCGCCATGCTTTGCTTGCTCAGCACAGCAGCAGTTTCAATATTTGCAAGATGCAACAGGGAATATGAGAAAGTCGCGATATAAACCGTAAGACGAGGAAATTAAAGCTAATCACATTGTTCATCTGCAGGATGGAGGAAAAAGTAGCACAAAAGGCAGCCCCATTTGTGCATTTTCCGCATGGTAGACGCTCTAGTCACTCCCTCGGAGATTAATTTTAATGGTTTGTTTACTCCTTACGATTTTATCACCCCCATTTTTCCACGAATTGTGCCATCCGGCGAGATTATCTCGCCAAGACGGCTGAGATTGTTATTCGCTGCGACACTTTAATTATTGCGCCTGCCACACTGAAAATTTACTTCCCGTCCGGATAATGAAGCTTATTCGGTTACAAAGCAATGTTGAAAAGTGTCAAGAGTTAATTTATTGCTAATACCACATATTTATTGGCATTTCGCCGCACTAATCACGATTGCAGAGTGTGAAATTAACGCCCACTAATACAAATAGCAGGCCAGAAAAGGCTTAAATGCTAGTTCATCAGAACTTTAATTGGGCAGGTTTATCGTATTTTCATTATCAAATAAATTTAACTGTTTGATATCCAGTACATTTATCGAAATATAAATCTGGAAATGGCTCGTTTCTAAATTGCCATATTATAACACCCATAGAAAGAATGTTGAAAAGTTTGGCGAAGAATTGTTTGTGAAATAGAATAAGACTTACAACTGATGTTGACCTTCTTGGACGCTTGCATGGGGATTCCGTAGCCGTTGTCAGCGTAGCAGGAGACGTGTTCCATATCAGTTGACACGTTGTGGATCACCGTGACCATGTGCCTGGACGTGTCTTGCCGCACGAGATGTCCTCCGACGTAGAGGCTGATGGTGGGCTCGGGGTTGCCCAGGGCCAGACAAAGCACCGTCATCGAGCCGCCCTCGGCCACCATGTCGGCGGGATGGATCGTGGGCGGATCCACGTGTGCCGGCAAGGCCGGATCTGTCCACGCGACGAGCGTCTCCGAGGGTAGACTCACCCCTTTCGCGCCTGTCGCCGTGACGTACACGACATGCTGCGAGTTGGGCTTCAAGTTCATAATCCTTGCCCAAAGCAGACGCGTCTCCACGACCTCAAACCTATCGGCCGAAGTGCTCTTGTGGTACAATCTGAAGGGGTGCAAAACAACCCCATTAACTGTCTGGACACAGCAAAAACAGATCGGAACACAATCAAGTGGAAATTCATCTCCATCTTTTCACCCAGACATCCCCATTTCATCCCCATCGACGCAGTTTCTGCGCAAATAATCTAAACTTTTTAATTGCCGATGCCCAACGATGTCGGGCGTGAGGGGGAAAATGCAAATATTTAAGACATCAAAGTTGCCGACAAAGTCTCAAAGATATGCTTAAGCATTTTTTCAGTGATTAAACTTTTACATTTTCCACCCCCACCTCCATTCGCAAACAAACGCCGCATATAAAGTGAGAAAACTCCGTCTGGCAATCTGCAAAAAAAGGCCCTTTGATGGAGCGAGCTCCTTTTTCTCGCTCTCAATTCGCCTTTGAGCTCTCTTCCCATGTGATTGGGTAATTATTGATTGTGGCCGAAGACGCAAAAGAAAATTGATATCCTCGGGAGAAATCGAATTTCATCTCAAAATTCCATTTCAGCGCAATTCTGGATGTCTCCCGGAGATTTTTCCTGTGTGGAAATATGAGAAATTTTCCACGCCAGCAGTACACCTTTTTTTTGATATTACATTCATTGAATTAGGGAATACGTGAAATTGGGTGATTTGGAAGGATGCCGACGAGCTGAGTGCGGGGAAATGCCACTATAATTTACTGTCAATGAAGTTTGTGACATTTGATAGCACAACATTGAAGATGGCGTCAATTTTGATGCCACTTCAAATATTTCCCATCGAAAATCTTCCACTTAAAGTGGCACAATTCGCCTGAAACCCAAGTTAAGTTCCAGTAAAAAGCTGGAGCAAGCAATTCTCTACTCACTTGTACACTATAGGTTCGTGCGGATGCGAGAATTCAGGCGGTTGCCATGAGACTGTGACCCAGGTGGCGCTGTGCGCGGCCACAGCAAGAGAGTGCGGCGGTGAGGGTGCACCAAAGAGTTGCGCTGCATATTCCACTCTCGAAGTGTTGATGAGGAGCATTGACGAGGGCAGTGAAACCCCGTGAGCTCCTCTCGCCACCACGAGAATCCTGTACAAGGCACTCGTCTCCAGATTCGTCAGATCCACGTCGGTCTCCGTCGTATTAAGCTCATTCTCCAACTTCACCACAGTCTCGTACATGGTCATGTTGTTTACCTTCCCGTACTGCACCAGATAGTCCACTACCTTTGCCTCTGTATTGTTCACGTCCGCCTCTGAGGGCTCCCAGGCCAGAGAAATGGTGTTGTTGGTCACACTTGTGGCTCTGAGATCCTCAACTGGACCTGGAATGTTTCCTGTTCCCTCTTCCAAACACTGCAACACATTTCCGGCATACGGCAGGCATTCAGCCGTGGACTGAGACACCACGCCATGGCACAATGACATACACTTGGGTGGAACGGCGCGACGAGAGCAGCAGCCCGAGTGATCGCGTCCGCCGGCAGCGCACTTCACTAGCACTCCCATTTGAGGCTGACACAGTCCTGCCAGGGCTTGCAGATCCGTCATGCGGATGTCATAGGAACAGAGAGGCATGCACTGCGGCAAGAGCCCAGACACTGAGCAGCAGGATGTTATGTTGTAGCTCACGACCTGATTATCCTCCTCCGCCTATCAATGAGAGATAAGTAAGCTCCGCCCACTCGAAAGCCCCGCCCACATGAAAACTTACAGCGTGTTTCGTTTGGAACACCAGTCGAGGCGAGGGGCCGCCTTTACCATGAGCATTCACTGCCACAATGAACGCTTCGTAGTACGTTCCGCCCTCCAGATCTTCCAGAATCATCGGCGGATGTGGCTTGTCCATCACAGTGTATTCATCGCCACTGCCCAGCTTCCTCAAGTGAAGGTGATAGGACGTGACAGTGTCCGGCAGCACTTTGGGCGCATTCCACTCCAGCACAGCGAAGTGGGCAGACACCAGTGGCGCCTTAAGGCGCGACGGAGGCCCAGCCAATACTCCGTAGCCTTGCAGCAGGCAGCTGCTGTACTCTGACATGTACTGAAGGCACCTGAGCACAGGGGAAATGAATGAGCTCGTGATAATCCCGATTTGCGTTGATGTGTGAAACTTACTTGAAAAAATTAAAATTGATTGTCTTCACGGTTCCGGCGCAGAACGGCAGGCACGCATCGGGGATGCCGCGGCTCTTGCAGCACGGCGAGTGGTCGACGTTGTTGGCCAGGCAGGAGAAGGTGATGTTGGCCCACGGGGCGCACACCATCAGGTCAGGAATCTCCGTGAAATCCGCCTTCTTCGGGTCACACATCCTCTCCAGGCATGTCCGGTGCGTCATGCCGGCGTTCTCGCAGCAGCCGCGAACATCTGTGGCAAGAGGGAGCAGATTGAGGCCTCGGGACAGTCACCCGGAAATATGTGATGGTTTCCCATAAGGTTGGATGTTCAGAAAGCTGGGCAACCTCATAAATATAACATGAAATTGCATAATGATCGGTGGCAGGTGGTTAGAGCTGACAAAATGCGATTGGTCACTTCTAGATAGGATTCTGAAAGTCAATTCTTTGTGGTGAAATTAGTATAGAAGATTTAGAAACTCATCATTTCCGTGAGGATGAAGAACCGGAAAGATGTACGAATTTTAAAAACTATAACAGTCAAACGGTAATCTCAATCCCCAAATCTTCCCTCTAAAAACTCTTCAGCTCTGTTATATTGTCAGCCACCCTCAAAATTTGTAGTAAATTAAAAACAACACGTGTGCTATTTTATGTCACAATTGCAGAGGTGGGTTTTTGGGTTCGCAACAATCACACTCATATATACTGTTTGCTGTGCATAAAAGCGCGGCTTTTTTTGTGCCGTCCGCCATATGTTTACAAAAGTTGTTTATTGACGTGAAAATTAGATTCTCAGAGGATGCATGTATTCGCCACTGGCGCACTTCTCATTAAAAATCCAGAGTAAATGCAGTGGGACTTTTGCCACCGCCACCGCAAAATTTAATAACGTCGCATATCATTTAATTACTCGCCGACATGCAATTATTCGCGACACTCGCGATCGCGTAATGAAATTTGTTGGGCTAAAACTTGGTCGTCTGTTTGACTTATATTAGCCAAAATAATCCCACGATATTGGCAGTTTTGAGGGTGAGAAGTGTGAAAGGGCAAAATGTCATTATGACTTGCCTGTCGCGATGTCACCGTGTGGAAAGGCGCAATTCCCGAAGAAAAAGAAGCTCGGCGACGAAAGTTGATGTAAAATTGGAATGAAATGGCTTTTGAGATGCATCTTAACGCGAGAGAGCAGCGGCAGATAAAATAGATACACAAAGTCTTCTTAACTCTCTGGCAGAGAAATGTATTTGCTCTCCAATCTTGTGCCAGACACGAGCAAAATAATTGCATTTCATATTTAATCAAAGTTTGTCTGACATAAAGAATTCTCCCCCCCCCCCCCCCATCTTACGAAAGCAGGATACAAATAGCGCTGCAGCGGAGAAATTTCCCGATAGGATCATTATGAAAAATATAACATTGGCTTGAGGAGTTTTGTCGACGATGGGGAGAAACTCCGGCATTCCATCCGCCCAACAATTGGCTATATACTTACAATGGGAGCGAAGGGAAGTTTTGGCGGAGGAAAAAAATGGCTAAAGTTTTGATTTATAGCTTATTAAAGGGTTGCGCCGTATCGCGCTGAAAAAGTGTCTTCCATGCGCGCGTCATACATATAGAAAATGATAAATCTTGAGTAATTTACTTTTTGGGATTAAATTGTTGGGTGCCGAAGAAAAATCCCACTCGCACTGTCAAGCTGAGGATTTTCTACATTACTTGGGAAATGTACAAATTTATGGTGTGCTCCAGCTTATCGAGGAGGTCACAATATATCAAGGTGGAAGAGAGTCACTTGATCCGCAAAACTGTCGAAACTGGAGGCGAGCCAAGGAGGGAATCTTAACACTTCCACCTTTAAGTGAGCATCTCAGTTTATCTCCACATCCTGTGACTCTCCTTGATTTAAGACATGATTCTTTGCACTACAAATGCTAAACACTGTCACAAGCACTTCGAGAGGCAGCAAAGATGTGCGACTCCCGTGGCCAAGGAGGCGTGTGCAACAGGTGTCGTCAGTGATTCAGCGCAACTTGACCGAGAATTGTCTTAATCCGATAATTATGCGATTAAAATGTTACGGCCAATTCTCGAAGCACAACGCACAGAAACCATCAGTAATCGCATTTGTCAATACTTAATGGAAACAATCACTTATTTGCATGATTGTGTTGCTGGTCAGAAACATTTAGGCAAGTTGTAATCTTAATAAGCCAGAAAGTCTCACATCCTCACCTGGTAGCATGGGAATTTCCGCCACGTTCTTCTGCTTCGCAACTCCGCTCTCGAGAGTCAGAGCGCGAACCCTGAAGCTGGGCAGACTAGAGCCTTGATCGTTGTTGGCCGTGACCATGATTGAGTACATCGTGAAGGGCTTGAGATCATTGATGACCGCCGTGTCCAGATTCCCGGGCACTGTGACGCCCAGAGAGGACGTCTCGTTGGCCAGCCAGTCTTGGTCAAAGCTGTGCATCAGCGTCACGTTCACCTGGTAGGTTTTCACAGTGCTGGCGAGCTTGGCCGGCGCTGTCCAGCCCACTTGCAGTGACCTCTCACTCAAGGGCTCCACATAGACATTCTGAGGCTCGCTGGGCAGTCTCTGGATGCCCAGCAGAATGCACTGCAGCGCCGGCAGAGTGTGAGCAGCGCACGAGACGCGCGATTTGAGATAGTCCGTGAACGGCGTATATTCGCCTCTGCACATGTCCTGCAAGAGAGACCATCGCATCATCATCATCTGTGCCATTTGCCACTCTGGCGGGAGTTACTGAAATGTCATCAGCCAAGTCAATAAAGGTATTATGTTGAGGAACATCTGTTACAAATCATTTTATAATCCCTCATGAATACATATTAAATATTTTATATTAAATTAACTTCCCTTCTGCGACTACAATTCCCTTGTTTTTCACGATTTCCCGCAAAAACCGAATTGTTTTTTCTCCCACCCACGCGAATAGCATTCTATTATTCAGAAACGCTTTTGTTTGCTGCGCGAAGATGTCGTGAAATGTCAGAATATGGTTAGATATTAAATGAAATTATAATAAACCACGTAGAAATACCAATAATATCAAACAGCGAATGCATATGACAAAGGGAGACTTTATGGAAGTGTGTACGATTTGTTCTAAATCCACTGCGAGCATTTTAATTGGACAAACAAATTTCATAATTAGCATACAAAATTCGGAAATAAAATGTTTCACAGCGCTTTTAAAAGCTTTCGTTGTAATTAAAGATGCATTTAAGCACAATGTAACTTCTTTTATTCCTCTGAGAGCAAAACTTTGTCACTTTACTTAAGCCAAAGTGCACAACTTGCAGTTGGAATGGCCTTTTGGGATGCATAATCCCAGAGTGTCCACAACTTTTCATCAGAAGTGCCGAGGATGTTTTAGAGAGACAAAGTTCCCCCGAAGACAGTGCATCAAACTTGGCATCAAAATGATAAACACTTCAAGGTGCATTTCATCCCAAATGAATTGTGAAGTCTTATAGTCTGCAAATATTTGGCATTTTTCGTCGAAAAGTCTTCACTCACCTGGCACAGATCGGGAACTCCGCGCTTCTCGCAGCACGGCATGTGATTCCGTCCGTCAGCCATACACTTGACAATGCTGGGAAAATCCGCCTCGCAGGATTCAGGATCAGTGCCCGTGGTGCCATCCAGGATGTTGTGCACCGTGCAGTAGCCGATGCACTTGCTGGACACATTCCTGGTCGCGCAGCAGTCGGTGAAGTCGTGAACGAGCGCCGTGACTGGTGTTGTCTGTTCCGCCGAATTGGAATCCTCCTCGCCGGACGTGGAATTTGCGGTGGCATTTGAACTCTTCACTGCAAAGGACAAACAAAGATGTCAAAGTCTGTGACTTTTAATACACACATGAGCTTTAATGCAAACTTTCACGATGACATGAAACTTTCCACAGAGATTTTGTGTCCAATTGCCAGTGACTTGGTGTTCTTTTGCATTTTCTCTCTCTCACGAGAGAGAAAGAGAGAGAGAGAGAGAAGGAGGAAAGCACAGAGGAAGAATATTAAAAAGTTCCTCTTCACCTTCGGCTGCAACTTTGGCGTGTGGCTGGTGAAAAAAGCCTTTGGTGCGCGCAGACTAAAAGCTTTAGCATGAAAAAAAACCGTCGGTTGTGGGAAAGTTGTTCGTGAGTCGTGATTGAAAAATATTTCACAATGCTTCTGAGTTTTTCCTGATGATGTCGAAAGTTGTGCCAATTTTGTAGTAAAATAACAAGCCCGTACAGTCACTTGTTGTTCAATTTGTGGAGTGTTTGCATAAAAATGAGAAGAAGCTTTGCTCAGGGAAGCACAATCTTACCTCTAAGGGGATGAAAACTACGCAACACCGGCTCACTGTTGACTTCGCAAACGTAGACATCGGTGTCTGTGGGCTTGGCATCCCTTATCAGCAGCACCCACACGTCCCCACCTGTTGGGGTGCGTCCTTTGGGCGCTGAAAAGACAGAAGAAGAACGTGTTCACATGAATATTGCATATTTCGCGAATGATGTGGAAACTACAACACTTCTCTGCCCATTTTTCTTTCCACCAAAAATTATCATGCAAATCACACTTTTTCCCACCTTCCACGATTTCAGACAACTTTGCATCGCATTAAGAGTTTCTCATGTTTCACTGAAAGTTTCGTCGCGCGAATATTGCCTAATTGCACAACTTCAATTCACATAACAGCAATTATTGTTATATCTTCATCAATTCAATCACCACCCAAAGCTTTTTCCACGCATTTAAGTGGTAATTCAATCGAATACAGAGGCAATTTTAATTCTCATTCCTGCTATTTGGTTATCTCAATAATATTTTTATCGTCGTGGTGCCTCCATTTTCAACTATTCCACGGCAATGGCAATTCTTTCTCCCATGACATGGCAATCAAGAGCGAATGGTATGGAATTCGATTATAAAGCTTATTCACGACACAATTTTCTCTAACATTTTGTTTTGTTGGACTTTTCCATTTTTCGATTATTATTCATAGTTTTCCAACTGGGTACTGCAAAAGGATGAAATACACTATATTGATTCCATATTTACTCTCGTTACTGACTGTGAATTTGTTTGCAATTGCATTTCGCGCAGTGTCAGCACATAAAACCAAATGGAGGTAATTTTCTGGAGTTGAGAAAAGGAATTGTGAAAAATTTCCCACTTTCCCGCCTCTTTTCCCGCATGTGCATCATCTACACATCGTCGCCAGCGAACACCAAGTCAATAACACTCTCATGATGGTGGGAGACAAATGAAGAAATCCAGCGAAACAGATACAAACTCTGGGAGTTCCAGAAAGAGGAGAGTTGCGAAAGGATTGTCTGTTCCACTTGAGGAATTTCATGAACTTAACGGCCACTCAACTTAATTCAATTTGCAGCGAAGGTTTTTTCTCTCTTTTTGTTTCCTCTCTCCTGCTCACTGGAGAACACGACAAAGACAAACTGGAAGAAAAGCACCCCAGAACATGTGGGATGAATTTGCCAGAGAGAAACTCCACTGGTCGAATGTCTTCTGCTGCACTTCACAAACTTTTCGCACACAACAATGCAATAGCCTTAATTTCAAAATTAAATTGGAACAATTGCTAAAAAGCTCATTTTGAAATTTCACAGATGGTCAGAAGAATAAATATTCATAGAATTGAAAACAATATCAATTGATTAATCCATTTGATAATTTAAGAAGTATATTGTGATTTTTCTATTAATTGGACAATTCATAGCTAATTTTAGGGTTTCTCTGCGGATGCTCAAGTTGAAAAATAACACATCAAGAGTTAAAATTCAACGTGAATCTCAAGAGTCATGTAAGTGGCCTGTAAAATTCAGCAATCCCTCAAGACGCCCAGTCCTCAAGCAGAAACTTTCGGCACTTCCTCTGAAATTCCACCAGCACGGAAAGCTTGCCGGAAGCTCTGCAGCCCTCAAGGGCCACCGCGAGGCGGAAAGTGTGACTTGTCAGGAGTACAATTTCCCAATTTTCCCCTTGTAAGCTTGCGGCCCAGTTCTCCCAGGGCTTCAAAGTGAGCTCCACGGGGATGGGATTGTACAGAGTTGTCTGGACGACAACTTTTGGGTGGGCGAAGGCAATAAAACACGGACCACCGCCGCAATATTCACACACAGTGCGGGGTAAAAGTGTGTGATGTATCGCTGTGGCTCCGAGAAGTATATGCAAAACAACCATAAACATCTCAAAATAACATTTATGGCAATTTTCGCAATATATGCAATATGCGAGGGCCGTCACACCCTCTCCAGACGTCTCCTTGTGGGGGGGTGGTGGGCAGGGGGCGCCCGCCAACTTCCCTTTGCATTAAAGTGTCCAAAACAGAAGCATGCAATCATAAATAACGAGGGTGGATAAAAAAAACGGCGAAGTAGTGGAAATGCCTGGAGTATCATGATTCGCAGGACTCTGAATGCAATTCAAATCCACTGTTAGGACACTTTATTGCAAGCGATACTCAATGGCAGAGTTTATTTTTCAGTCTCTCCACTTCCGCTCGTGAAATATTAGATGAATACGGTGGGAAAAGTTCAACCCCCAAAGCAGTATAATCCGCCATGTCGAAGGCTGCTTGAATGCTTCGTTCACACCGAAATTATCTCAATCACAACAAAAATATTTTCACTGATATACACAGCATCTCTGGAATGAATGAAATTTACACCTCGATGCACTCTCTCTCTCTCTTTACAATTCTTCCAGTCTGCGAAGCTTTTTTCATCGCGCTTCCAGGAAATGAGATGGGGAAAAAGTATCGCGCGCGCGAGGGAGGCTGTCATGAAGAGGGAAGCAAGTGAGGCAGAAATATGTGTGTTATAATAAACAAGCACATATTCTCCAGAGTTTATTGATCGATAAATTTTGTGCCAAATGCTGTTAAAATCAAAAGTTGCGCTCTTAGATCAACATTTTCAATTACATCGTGACACAGGGAGTGAAATATTGTGTATTTTGGTGTAATCAATAATTCACCAGCGGATCAAGTGGTGTTTTCGTTAAATTTGACACCCATCATTTCAGACCTGAGCACATTTATTAACTTCAATTTCATTTCATATAATTTTACACTGTCAGTTTTTCAGAACATCAAAGCTCTGCATCTGCTGCAAATTAACAATTCTGATAGAATGTGCCAACAATGCCAGCATGCAGACTGCAAAGATTCCGGACTTGTGCCTGTCTGTCTGGATTGTAATTAAAAGCGGCATAAACTCATTGTGAAATCCCATGAGCAGATGGACTCTGGAGGAGAGCCCGAAGTGTGCTTGATTAAATGAGAGGAAACTTTTGCAAGAAGCATCTCTTCGTGACAATCTGCCGTGCGAATTTGTATACAATTCAAGTTGGTCTCATTCACATTTTGAGCATTTTCTCTCCACCCAAGAAAAATCCAATTAGGGACATATTCAGAGATGGCAAAATCTCACGGGAAGCCCAAAGATATCCAGCATCCTCACTTGAAATGCTGCTGCTTTTCTTACTCCAGTAATTCCGCCTGTGTCACTCTCACCTGGCATGCCTGGGGAGTGTGGCATAAATAGAGGAGCCCAGAGATAGCGGACACTTTAGTGGATGTTTCATGCGCATTTATATTCCCACTTGCGAAATTTTTTAGACTCTTGCTGGCAGCCTTTTTTCCCTGCACAAATTACAAACTCCCACACACATACACACCCTTTCACCCACTCCCAAGGCATGACTTTAACAATATATTTTTAATTTTAATTTTGCTGACTCCATTCATTTCTCCCTGGCACTGTTGCAAAATTTCCCCTGCTGGGTTCTATTGTGTCGCTTCCACCCTTTTCGGCGTCGCATTGTTGCAAAAAAATGTGTCCACCCATGTAAAATTCACCCTATAAGAGGCACAAAATAAAAAAAAACACTACGAGCTTTTTTCACCACGATAAAAGCATCGACAGAATTCCGTATTACGCGCAAGTGGGCTCAAGAAGAGTGGATTAAGCATGAAAAATAACACATGAATATCGCGATAAGTGCAAAACCACCGAAATAATTCACAGAACTGCACTTGATCGCCTATTAGAGGGACACTCAACGTCAGCAAGTGTATCGCAATATCTGTATCCTCAGTGCCTACATCCTGCAGACCATGAAGAGCAACAAAAAATTACCAACTCAACAGTGTCCCTTTGAACTTATCACTACACTGAGCAGAGAGTCATTAAAAAGTGCTCGACTCTGCTCAAATTTCCTCAAAGAAAAGCCCTCAATCCCAAACCCCAATGAAAAGCCCTCGATTCTCTCGTATGTACTTTTAATTTACTTTCGCAGCGAAAGCACTTTTCAGGCAGCTCGAGGGCGAATTGATGAAAAAAAAACACAATGCGTAGGAAAAAATAAATGGGAACGGCAAAAAGCTCAGTGTGTGGCAAATCAATCGGATCTCCCCCGTATATCTGTTGAAAATTGAGTAAAGTGAAACGAGTGTACTCCCCTGATTACGTCCCCATTCCACCAAAACTGGCATCGTTCATATTTTACGTACGCTGAGTACATTAATACGAAATGCCGACAAAGGTGAACTTCAACCTGTGTTGTGGAGCTTTCAATTTAGGTGTGTTTATACAAGGGTGAGATATTGATAAAACTAAAAATGCACCGTACAGTGTGTTGATAAATCTATTTACATTGGGGATTAAGCAAATAAATATGATTTTCCACTTGCATTATAATTCATTTTCTATTCAATCTCACTCGTTTCAATTCAGTAAGCTCTTTTTGTAGATTTCAGTGTAAAAGTGAAGCTTAAAACCTTAATTGAGCAGGGAAAATATATCAAAATTACAAGTATTATGTTTCAGAAGACTCTCCGGTTCTGTAAAAATAATTGCCAAATATAAATGTAAAAGGGTATTAATTGGAATGTAAATTAAACCAAAAGTATGGTTAATTGGATTATTTTACACTTTGAAGTGTATAAATTCAGATTTTTGTCGTATTATCGGGTGAAAAAAAAATTAGTCAAGTGAAAAGTTTTCATTACCATTGAAAACCAACCCTTTTGCGTGTGTTGCCAAGCCATGTGATTTATTAACTGCACATCCTCAAACCCCCAAAAAAGCCAGTGAAAATTTCGCATTTTCCCACGATTTTCTCCATAGTTGTTTCACTTTTGCACCATTTTACTGGCGAGTCTATTCGCCAAATGGGAAAATACCCATTTAAATTACATCTTTCAGCAAGCAAGACTCGTACTAAATGCTTCTGTGAATATGTAATTTGTGAGCCATTGAAAAAAATCCAGCACGCGAACAAGAGAGCGAATTTAATTCAAATGTTGATTCACAATGCAGTGGGAAAATCATATTAAATGCCTGGGGTATAAATATTTTAATACAACGTGAATTTATAGCTTTTTATCTCTGGATTCTCATCAATAAATAATGCATTTGTTGATTTTGGGCAGCGAGAAGCACGAGCTGGAAATGGTGAAAAAGGGATTACGCTGTACGACAGCACTTGTGCCAAGAGAGAGAGAGAGATTAAATTGTCCGGCAATTTAGCCCCAGAGACGCACTTTGCTTTCTAATTAGCGAATCATTGATGCGATTTGTGACGAAATTCACAGCTGGAATAGCTTTTTTGTCTGCCACAAAAAAGCTCCCTGTGCTTCTTTCACAAAGCTTCCTCGCAATTTGCACAATTGCCACTTGTGGTGCTGCATTTTATGCATGATTGAAATTAATTGGGTCCGACCTCGTGCTCTCGGAGGTTTCACTTTGTAGTGAAGAAACAAAACCACAAACTGAGAGGTCATTTAAAATGTAATTGCCACTTAGGGAAGCTCACAACCCTTCGGACAAGGCGGGTGGCAAAAGTTATGCAGCTTTTCATCACTGTGTCTCATTCTGAGCTTTTTCCACCACAAAAGCCACGCAACAATGGCACTTGAAGCCCATGTAAAATTTTGAAACAAAGCTTAAAACTTTCAACACTATGACCATATTCAATGCGACTGAATGTTGAGACAAAGTTTGCAATTATTGCCAACAGGAAAGCATACAAAACACTATATATACATTTCTCACATTTACCCGTAAAACACAACACGAATAAAATGGCAAAAAAGATTAAATTTCAGCGTGAAAAAATGTCAGGTGTTTTCTGTTAAAATAAATATTAATTTTGTTTTTAGTTGCAAAACAAAAACTGCGGTTTCTAAAGTAAATATGATATGGTAGAAACATGAATGTGGATGGAGCTTTTGATATGTGTAAACGACCAACAACCTTTATGGGAATATTCTGAAAAATACGCAATCTTAAGAGGAAATTTCTTAGCGTATTTCCTATTTACAAAATCTTTCATTTTAATCTTTAATCACCTTCCATTCATGAATATTTTAATGAGCTGAAGACTGGGTATGCTTGTCATAGAACAAAAGGGAAAATGAGGAGAGGAACGTAAGGAAAAGCTCCTCTTCTTCATCACACACGCCTTTTCCGCTGTTTTAAATAAAATGCACACTGAATATTAACGCAAAACTGCTCTAGTAAGAGTCCATTAGCGGAATAGTAGTTGATAATTGCTGTTCTTTTCCTCACTCTCTCTCTCTCTCTCTCTCTCTCTCTCTTTTCCCAAACAAATCTGCACCGCACTTGAGGAGCTCATTTAATTTTCCCATGCGAAGCTCTCACCAAATATTTATCTAGCGGGTGGAGCAGGAAAGTTTCCTGGTAATCCCATCCAATGATTTTTTGGCTCATGAAAATTCCACCCCACCAGGAGACAAGCAGAATGCACAGGAGCTCTCCTGGATGGATCGCACCAAGAATCGCAGTGTATGGCTAGAGCTTTCAACTTCAAGTAAAATATTGACGCAATTCGTTTAAGTAGGTAATTTCCGCATGACTTAAAACAATGTTTTCGCCTCTTGTGCGCATATTTATCAGAGAAAAGTTACCCTTTTCGCTTATGTCGGGGTAAATATCTTCGGTGAGAGCAAGCATAACACTCCACACATTTACACTGAGCTTTTCCGCTAGCGATATTCGCAGAAAGGGTGGAAAATTCATGTGAAAGAGGTTTTTTTTCTCGAGAGTTTTAAGCTAAAAACATCCCCCCAAAAAGTGCAAAATGGATTCCAGGAAAACTGAATCAGCAACTTGCTAAAAATCTGCACTTTTCACACTTTGCAGATATTTTGGCAGCGTTGAAAATTGATAAATCGAGAACCTAAGCCTCTGAGCACTGCAAAACAGCCATCCAAATCTTCATCTACACTTTGAGTTGAGAAGTTATCCACCCGTTTCCTACCCAACGAGCTCTCGACACTATAATGGGAAAGTTCACACAGTGAATTACCGAGTTATGATGCCTCGTGGGTGGCAACAAAATGCCCACTCTCGACTCAAGGGTCGCCTAATCCCATGGACTTTGTTTAATTTGGCTATGCGTAAAAATTCCAAGTACACACCATTTGCGGAGCTGCCTTTTTTCACACCCCCACTCTCTGAGTCCTGGGCATTGGTGCGCCCTCATGGTGTGGGGCAGTTAATAAATTATTCCAAAGTGGAAATAAATTAAGACTCTGACTGGGTGCTTTCTGTGGAAGTGTCGCGAATGAGAGACAAAAGGAAGTGAGCTGTCAAAATAAATAATGTGGACATTCTTCATTGGATGAAGGAATTTAAATTTCTAATTTATTTTCCACCCTCGCACTTCAGCCACTCAAATGCACACTATCTTCTCGTCCATTATGGCAAAAGCACAGAAATATTGGGGGTAGTTTTCGACTTCCCAGTGATTTCTCAGACTGAGAAGAGAAAGGATGAGGCACCATTTCTCTGCTCATTGCGCCAATTTCCTCAGGGACACTCCATGGATGGCGAGAAGCAGGGCGTCTTGAGAGTTTTGTCAATTGACAACATGGGAAATATTCCCACCTTAAGACACACTTGATCCATTTCCTTTCCCCCATTTTCTCCTACCTTGTAGCACTCCACCCACACGACAACGGACACGCAAAAGAAATGGTAATGACACCGGGAGTCCCTTTCAATGGGGGCCACTCAGTGAGAAAACTTCATGAATAATTCCATGATCTGGAAATTACCTTTCTGAATCTTTAATTTGCACATAAACTCTCTCATTAATTCAGAAGACAATAAAATCACGTTTCAACTCCTCCACCACTTCAAGGGTAGCGTGAGCCAGGTTCAAATTAAAATTGTCTTCGCAACCCCTCAAAGGAGGCCCCAGCATTATGGGGGGGAAACATCTTGGGAGTAAATAGAATTTTTTGTCAGCCTCTGGAAAGAATTTTTAGATTAAAATTTTCCCCCTTCCCCCACACTCGAGCGGGGGAAAACTCTAAATTCCTCACTTGAGCCGCACTTTTGCCATGGGACGTAATTTATCCCTCCGCCTGGCAAATTTTTCCTCGCACAAGAAAACGACCTAATAAATGCCCCTTTTTTTCAACTCTGCAACTCACCAACACACCATCCCTCTCTGTGTTGGGGAGTATTTATAGAGATTTTAGCATACAATTAATTACATTTTTCCTTCCTGACACATTTTACAGGAAGTCGTTACTTCCCCAAATGCAACAGTTGGCAAAAGCCTTCACCATGTGAATGTCTTTCTCACTCGTTGTTGTTTTCCTTTCCTTCACAAGAAAATCCCCCAAACCTCCCAACATATTTACATCACTTGGCAAACAATGAAACAATTTGCCTGTTAATTTTCCACCCTTGAAGATCTCAATGAAAGATTTTCCCAGTGTATTTTCACTCCCACTCAAGCATCAAGAGCGAAAAATTCCACAATAAACAATACCATCGAGAGGGTGGAAAAATACCTAAGAGCAGAAACTGAGATATGCCAAATATTCCATGGGTTTCTTCTCATCTTAGCTGCCTCTTTGCGGGGAATTTGTCTGCTGAATTCACAGAGATATTCACGGGATTTCACTACATATTTCATTTGCAAAATTGTATTTATGATGAATTTTTGATCATTCAAAGACCGTCTCAGATATGCATATCTCTCTTTTCTTCCGGAAAACCGAAATGAAAACTTTCCATAAGGCTCTTGAAAAAAAAAAAGTTGCCAGAGGAAAAGTGATTATTTAAATTAAAGACATTCAATTTGTATTGGTAATTGAAAGCACTAGAATTCTGATTGATATTCACATTGCAAATTTGCCATACATTGAAAATTTTGCCAAATTATACAGTATCTTCAGAGCACTGCAACAACACATTGTAAAGCATTCCCCGCTAAACTTCTTCATAAATAACCGGATAAGACCTAAACTTTTCATCGTGCACCCACGACTTTTGAGTTTCCCATCCAGCATCTGGTGCTCCTCCTGGGCGGGGCAAAAAAAAAGCACCAGACGAAGAGAGCAAAATGTATAAATACGAACGTGCTGCGACTCGACAAAGAGCTCCATGGCGTGAAATGGGTGAAAATTCGCCGAGGGAAGCTGTCCGAAATGGAAAATGCAAATCGCGTATTATGTGGTTAAGCCAGGTGGAAAAATAGCCAATCTCATAAATTACATTCCGAGATGGCCACTCGTGGGAGAAGAGCCACGCCACTTCCTTGGGACAACACTATGATTTACGATCTGGCTACTTACAGTCGTCGTGCAGGATGCTGATCCTCTTGTCGCTCGTGACACGACTAATCCCGGCCGAGAGGATCTCATTGGGACCCTTTCGCCACAGCACGGTGTCATTGGCGTAGGAACCCATGATGACACAGGTCAGGAGAGCATCGGAACCCTCGTTGATTATCGTGGGGCCGCCGGTTCCTGCAAAGGAAGAGCAATTAATTATAGTTCGGCACATTATTAAAGCCCAATTCCTTATTCCTCAAGTGAAAGCCCAATATTTTCCTAATATATTTCATCTCAGGAGGGAAAAAGGGAGCGTTTTAATCACCTGCATTCCTCTTGCAGCATATTTTATAGCTTAGAGCGCTTAGAAATTTTGTATCTCTTGAGAAACCCTTCTCAAACATCTCTAAAGTGTGATTCCTCATCTAATTTCCATGCCTCTCAAAGTAAATTGCATCTAAGCATAATAATGAATGATTCAGAAACATCATAATAATTAAACTCTCTCAGGAGCATAAGTAAAGCTCTAAAATTTGCCACGTCTTCTCACCAATCTCTAAACAGTGAGACTCCGCACTGTGAAAGGAGATGCCACGGCACTCAACGATAAGGAGAGTATGCAATATAAAGGAAGATGACGCCCCATCTTAGCTGTGTGAATTTCCCCCCGAAGAAGCGCTGAGCTTTTTGCTCTCTTCTGCAGTCATCATGTCGTGTCGTCATATTATTTCGCCATTACTCCAACTCCTGAGCTCAAAATTGCACTATCGTGATCACCTCGACAATATGTGGAGAGTGATGAGAAGTACTTTTTGCATTCCATACTACCTTCATTGACGAAATGGATGTGGAATACTTTTTGTTGCAGAACTATCTATTATACATGATTCTCTACAAAAGGGTTGGAATTAAGGTTTCATGTTAAAATCTAATAGGAAAAGTCAACAAGACTTTAAAGCATATTATATATTTGCACGAGTAATAAAATCTGCTTTGTTGGCAAGACAACAACCAAAGCATAATCCAAACCCACATAGAAAATTTATCCGATATCAAATGCGCATTGTATCAGTCATGTTCATAAGCATTGAGCGCCAATCAATAGGGGATATTATCATTCCACCCTTTATTCTGTCATCACTGGCATTAATCTCAAGGGTTTCCCACGACTGCACTGAGGATGAGAATAGAGATGGGCTTTTGAGATTTATCGCTGTGCACATACTGAGATGGCATAACATCATTAAATTCAGTAAATTTCTGACTTAAAAGCCCACTTTACGTGGACCGAAAGAATTCACTTAAAGTCCTTTATATGTGCGCGGAACAGAGAATTCTCGCATTTCCATCCCCATGTTAAGTGGCATAAAAGCTCTGCTGGGTAATTAATTTTTAAAAACCATCGCAGAGCAATTATGTAGCTTATTTCCCTCTGTAGTTCCTCATTAGCTCTATGGGCGGCAGTGGGTGGCAAAAAAAGGTGTAGTGTGCGCTTTAAAGTCTCTTGCTAATTTAAGCATTTCACTCCCATAGAATGTCACTGGTGCTGCCATAGTAGACAGAGAGAGGATGCGATGAAGTGGCATGCAAGGAAATTGTGGTGGGAGGAGTGGAAAAATCGATTACTTTTAAATTAACTTCCGGGGAGAATTTTCCCGCACTCGACATAAATCAAAACCCAGGCCATTCACATTCCTTCGGGCTCTTGCGTGATTGAGACCATCGTGCGCGTTGCGTGCAACTTTTTAATATCACACCATTGAAGCTCCCCACAAATTGGCTGCTTGATCGCCTCCCGGGACGAACCAGGAGGCAAAATCCCAACCATCCACGACACACAAGAACCCTCGCAGTGACACCCCAGACATTATTAGAAAGAGATTAACTTTTCAAGTTTGCCAACATGTGGAAGTCTCTCGTCCGGAATTTTCGCACAAACATATGTTTCACGAGAGCAATTCACCCCGACTCTCGCGATGTTGTGTGTGGAGTTTTAAGGGAGTCGCGCCAGAGAAAATTGTCTGGGATGCCATTGGGTGAGCAACAGTGGATGATTTGCAGAGCATTGAAAAAAATTCACTGGCAGAAGGACGACTACAAGGGGTGATTCAGGCTTTCAGCTGAAGAGGGTGCAAAGTTCCACACATTTATGGAAAATTTCATCAGATTTGTCATTTATAAATGGTACAAGTAGGCAGATTAACAGTAAAACTGTTGTTTTAAGTGACTTATAGACTCATATTGCATCAAAGGGCGGAGTTTGTCAGTAGGCGGAGCTTTAAAATCATACCCATCATGAATACACAAGCGATTGTCTGTGAAAGTTTTCAGCGCAAGCTTCGCGAAACTTTCCCAATCACATCGGCCGAGCGTCACCCTCTCGAAAATATGAAGTGCAGGATGTGTGGCAAAAACTGGGTAGAAAATGCCGGAGGTGGAGAAAAGACGATTTCATGTCCAACATATCATTTTTATATCCTCTGGATTTCTATTGCTTTTCGCCTCTCTCGAAAAGTGAATGGTTTGGGGTGAAGTATAAATATAAATTTGGCACTCGGATCACATTTTGCTGTCTACTCATCCCATGGCGCTCTTCCCACACCCCATTCTGATGGGAGGGGAAAAGCTGCGAGTTTTTTTTTCTGCCCCACCGACAGGAGAAGAAGGCGGGCAAACATGAGCCATTCGACCGTTCATAAGTCATGACGGAAAGTTTTGAGTTTATGATGGTGTGGCTGAATTATGAACACACGGCGAGAGTGGCGCACATTTTCAAATATATCGATTCTCGCGCGTTTCGAAGGGATGCAGGAGAAATATCAACAAACATTTCTTGCGAATGCTCGGGTGAATTTCATATGGGGTGGAGGAGGGGAAGGAAAGAGAGCCTGAATTCACATGAAATTGAAAATAATTTTATTTATTTCTTGCCTCGCGGTGTAAATTTCTCTATATGGGAGTGATTCACAGATGGAATTTCTTATTAAACTTTCACATTACCCCGAGGCGTGCAGTTCATATATCCGCGGAAAAATTCACTTGGCTGAAGAGGCGCTTAAAGTTCCACGCGATATGAAATTTTGGGGTGAACGCAAAAGGGTTCAACTCACCCCTCCTTATTTGTACAAAACATATTGAGATTTATGAAAGTTTGCACAGCGCAAAGAGATCAATGGAATTTATATTTAACTCTTTGACTTTTATGCACCACCCGGAATCACGTGCATCAAGTTTACTGGCATAGAGTGAACCAAATTGCTCGTAATTCATGATTCACGAATAATTGACAAGGAACTACCTCATGCGGAGCTGCTTGAGATTTCATATCTCAACGCTGCCACAGAAGCTGCTCCCGCAGAGCGTCAAATATTTCACTCACTCGTTTCACAGGTTGAAGGGTTGGAAATTTATGAGCCACTTATACATACAGGTTTTAATGTTCAACTCACGGCGGTGCCCCAGCATGACAATCCCAAGGTGCTACTCTTCCGCGCTCAACAAATCATCGCCCACTTTCCACTCTGGATATACACTCCCAAAAATAGGTACAACTTCGTCCAACAATCCTGTCAATTAGCAGACAAATTAATTCCTCCCCCTCGACCAGAGTTCACCAAGACAATTGGAAAATCATTACTTAGTGGTGGGGAAAAAACATCTAATCACCCATCCAGCTCAGAAAGTTGCTCAATTATCTAGAAGCGAGACGGGATTTGTGGTCTTCGTGGGCAAGTTTTACCGAGAGCTTCATCGCGAAATGTGCAATTGCAGAGGAACAATCATGAAAATGTGGAAACTTTTAATTTTCCGCTGAACAAAGGGTAAAAGGCATTTAATTAAAAATCCTCAGAGAGAAGTTTCTTGCTCCGGAGAAGTGATTTAGCTGATTTCTATGCTACTTTTTCTTACCCTTGCAATTATACTTTGCTGGTAATTTTATCATTTTCATCGCTTCTAAAGCGGAGGGAAGAAAGATATTTTGTATTATTTATTATACACACATTATGTTTTTTAATTACATAGTATTATTATGACTTCAAATATATTTTGTGCTTTCACAGTATTGCATATTTACTGTATGACAAAGCTTCAAGCAAACTGAAAGCTTCAATATTTGATTATTCCGCCGCAAAATGCACAATTCCCCATCCATACAACACGTTATAGCGTTACGGGCGCAAGATGAGCGAATGGAAATGGAAATTCAGGAGAGGAATCAGTGATGGTCATGTGTACAGAATATGTCTCGAGGGAAGATGCACTTAAAAGCACATAAACAAGCCTCGACAGTACTCCGTTTAATTGACACTCTGCGGAAGGTAATTTCGCAATTTCACAGACACCAAAGCACATCGTTCGGGTGAGATTTTCGAATATCTTGCGGAAAATTCTATTCACACCTCGCTTCAACCGGTCGACTGTGTGGAATTAATCAGAGCTTGTTGGCTGTGAGGTGCATTCGGTCGAATATTCCCACAAGGATTCCTCATGAGACCACACAGAATATTGTCTGATGGGCTTCAATTTCTCAACTTACACCCTTCATAGTTCAGCTCGCTCATCCGGCAACACAATGAAATATTGAAGTGCTTGAGAGCAATATTATTAAATATATTTAGCTATGTAAGTTGCATAAAAAGCTTCAAAAGCCCTCAATCTAGTTAGACACACATTTTTGCATGCTCTAGCATTTCCCTTGCAATTCCATTCATCGCTGTTTTCTGTGGCTCAAAATTAATATTATATTTTCAGGACCTTTTCATCCAGGTGAAGTGCTCTTTTACGCCTCTGTGGCTTTAAAATTTCGCTCAGAGGAAAATTATGCTGGAGGACCACTCAATTACATGAAATTTACCTCAGCTTGTGCATGTTAAAATGCTCTCACATTGTGAAAATTTCTACGAAAGGTGAATTTTGAAAATCTCAACTCAACATTTATTCAATTTCTGTTCTTAATTTACGCAAATTATTTCACTTAAAGAGATGAAATGAGGTTGCATTTGCTTACTATGAAAATTCATTTTCAGAATCACAACAATAACGCTAGACAATTAATCAACTTTCTTTTTTTTTGCTTCAAAACCATGTGATTTTAGCAGCATTAAATTGAAAATTGATTTTTAATGCATTCGCCAACTTTCCAGTGATTTCCCAGTGGAAAAGACTGTTAAATTCTTAGCCAGAAAAAAGTTTCA